GGACACAATTTTTTTTTAGGTATTTTCTTTGTGGTTATCCAGAGATTACTGTTAACATCTTAAACTTACAACAATGTAGTTTGAATTAATACCATTTTAGTTTCAATGGAGTAGCAAAAAACTATTCCCATAATGCTCCAAGGAGCTCTGATGGTATAGAGGTTAAAGCATTCAGCTGCTAAGCAAAAGGTCAGTGGTTCAAACTCACCAGCCACTCTGTGGGAGAAAGATGAGGCAGTTTGCTTCCATAGAGATACACACGGCCTTGGAAACCCTGTGAGGCAGTAGTATTCTGTTCTCCTGGGTTGCTATGAGTTGGAATCAACTCTATGGCAGTGGTTTTAATTTTGGCAGATATCTCCTTCTCTTCTCTTTATGTTGTTATTGTCACAAAATACATCTTTATATATTGTGTGCCTATTAACATAGATTTGTAATTATTATTTTATACAGTTATTTTTTAATTCATATAGGAAAAGAACAATACTGACTTTTAGCTATATAGTTACCTTTACAGGTGTTCTTTATTTTTTTGTATGACTTTAAGTTACTGTCTAGTGTCCTTTCATTTCAGCCTGAAGAGTTTAGTATTTCTCGTAAGAAAGCTCTACTAGTGACTAGCTCTCATCTTTTCTTTAACTCCTTATTCACTTCCGAAGGATATTTTGGCCAGATGTCGTATTCTTGATTGAGAGTTTGTTTCTTTCAGCATTTTAAATATGACATCCTACCCTACTGCCTTGGCTTCCATAGTTTCTGATGAGAAATCAGTTGTTTATGTTATTGAAGATCACTTGTACATGATGAGATGCTTTTCTTTTGCTGCTTTCAAGATTTTCTTTGTCTTCTGACAACTTGACTATAACATGTCTCTGTGTGGATCTCTTTGAGTTTGTTGAAGTTTCTTGAATGTGTAGGTTCAGTTTCTTTCCATCAAATTTAGAATGTTTTTGGCTAAATTTTTCAAATATTCTTTCTTGTCTATTTCTTTACTCCCTCTTCTTCTGAGACTCCCATTATGTGTATGTTGCTCTTGATAGTATCCCTCAAGTCTCCTAGGTTCTGTTCCTTTTTCTTCATTTTTTCTTTCTGCTCCTCAGACTGGATCATTTCAATTGACCTACTGCCTCGGAAACCCAAGGAGGGGTCGCTATGAGTCGGGGCCGACTCGATGGCAAACAACAACAACATTGTCATTTTTGGTAATTCTTTCTTCTACCTTCTCACTCTTGACCCATTCTGGGGAATTTTTCATCTCAGTTCCAGAATTTATATTTGATTTTTTTTAATAATTACGATCTCTTTATTGATACTTTCTACTTGGTGAGACGTTGTTCTCTGGTTTCCTTTAATTATTTGTCCATGGCTGCATTTAGCTCTTTGAGCATATTTAAAGTCTTTGCCCGGTAACTCCAATACCTATGCTTCCTCAGGGACAATTTGTTTGTTTCTATATTTCCTGTGACTGGGCTGTACTTTCTTAATTTTTAATGCTTTGTATTTGTTTATTTTAAACTGGATATTTTGAGTGTTATAATGCAGTAACTCTGGGACTCAGATTATTCCTCTGGCCCCATGGTTGGTTATTGCTACTTGCTGTGGGTTATAGCTGTTTTTTTAGTGACTTTTCTGAACTATTTTTGCAATGACCATATTCTTTATTGGGATTATTGAACTCTATTCTGTTGGCTTAGTGGTCAGCTTGTGATTTGACAGAGATTTTTCTGAAGCACCTGGAGCCCAAAAAAAGAAAAAAGAAAAATCTTTCAGTATTTGCAGTTGGGCTGTGTGTGTGTACTAAAGGCATGCCTTCAGTACTCAGTTGGACAGTTTCTACGTCTGCCTCTGCCTTCACTATTTGTACAGAGTTTGAAGGTCAGGTAGTAAGCATTTGGAGTCTTAGGTCTTTTCTGAGCATGTGCCCCATCCTGGGCTTGCACGGGACCTTCTAAATTCCCAGAAATATGTGCAAACTTTTCAAAACCCTATTCTCTAAATTATCTCACTCCCCAACCTTTCCTCCCAGGCTTTTTGTCAATGGCATCCAATAAACTATGTCTAAACTGCTGTTTTTTGCTCCAGGTGGCAATGTCTAGTTCATTTGCCTTTCAATGTTTTTTGAGAAATCCCTTTGTATAGACACTTCTTTGTCCTCAGAGTTCTTTGTGTTGGTTTTTCAGAGAACCTCAAAAACAGATCAAAACAGACAAACACAATTATTTAAAAACAAGGTCTGCTCTGCTTGCTACCTCTTGAAGCAGGAACTCACCAGAGAATTTAGAGTGTGGTCTTTAAGACCTCCACCAAGTTGGGGAAGGTGGGGATGGGAAAAAAGATCAGTTAAAATGCCATAAAGCTTTTCTACCATGTTTCAATCATCCTTTTCATGATTAAGTATTTGCTTGAGTGCTGTAAAGCTTTGAATATTTTCTGAAGTTCCAACAAGGTTGATTGTGACAGTTTTGTTTTGTTTTTGGTGGGGGTGGGGTTTGGTGGTGACATTCTGTGCAGACATGGGAACTTCTAGTTCCAGACTCCAGTATTTTGTAATTCCTCAACAAATGTTTTTAAGAAATTTATTGCATATAGTTATAGGGCACATATTTTATAATTGACCCCAGGGAAACAGCACCGCGGTTGAGAGATAAATGGAAAAAATATGAATTTCTAGGTACTTTACTGCATTTCCACATTTCTACTGAATAGGTATTATTTTTCATTTTATTTGTTGATGTTTATACTCTGAGTGCTTCCACGAGGATTCGTAGTGGATATTGCTAAGGTCAGCCATGACTTTTGTGGTTTCATGATTTTGGCATTGTTTACAGGAGACTAAACTAAAAAAAAAAAAAAAAACAAAAAAACCCACTGTCATCGAGTTGATTCCAACTCTTAGGGACTCTGTAGGACAGAGTAGGACTGCCCCATAGGGTTACCAAGGCTGTAAATCTTTACAGAAGCAGACTGTTTGATCTTTCTCTCACAGAGCGTCTGGTGGATTCCAACTACTGACCTTTTAGTTAGCAGCTGAATGCCTTAACCACTGTGCTACCATGTTTCTTCAGGGAAACTAGGTTTGGTGTGTGTGTGTGTGTGCATGTGCACACGTGGACATGTGCATGTACACATGTAAATTCTTTAAAAGTTCCAACTGATCAGGATCAACCTTGTGTCTTGTGAAATTGAGTTCAGATTGTGCCATACCATACTGAACAAAAATACAACAGCACGTTCTTTAAGGGTCTATGTTTTTAAGCATAAAGTCTTTAGATTCTGAGTTGTGCACTTCAGGAAAAATCCCTTTTCATTTTTGTTCATTTTCATGTGAACATCAAAAAACTGTATCAAGCAATTTTTCTCTGACTTTTGCCTACATTAAAAAATAAAAATTTACCCAGCCCATTTCTGATCACTGCCCTTTTAAAAATGGCTAACCTGAAACCCTGCTATCTCCTTGGGTGCTACAGAATGAATAAGGAATAGTTTATGAAGCAGTCTCTGACTTTCAGTTCTTCTTCATTAACCTACTTTTACACACAGTAGATTTTTCCGTTTTAACAGTTTTTGGGAAGCTCTTAAATATTCTGAAATATAGTTGTTCAGGCTTTGTAATTTGTTCTGTGGCGAGGCACTGGCCCCTTTTGAGATATTTGGGACCCTTTCGATACTTCATTGTGTGAGACCAAAGTGGTGGAAAATCCCTAGTGACGTTTTCTTCCCTTTACCCGCATGTCATGGAGGAGTCCCCATACCTAGAAATTATTAGAACTATTCACTTTTTTTCCCAAGAAAATACAGTTTCTTGGGCTTTATCCCTCATGGTTTCTGAGTCAACAGTTGTGCCATAGAACAAGGAATCTTCTAAATATAAAAGCTTCCCCAGTGATTCTTATGATCCACCCAGATTATCTTGAGAGACAAGTTGATGTGCTTAAGTAAGTTAATATGGGATCATGTTACCCTGGTTTTGAGTTGAGACACTTACTATCACTTGACTAAATAAGTCAATTCTGTTCCTCAATTTCCTCATCTGTAAAATGGAAATAATAGCACATACTTAGCTCATTAGGTTGTTGTAAGAAATAAAGCTGACACCCATGGGGACATGTTTAGTCAAATGCAAAGTGCCACAGGGACTAACTGCTAGTACTGTCATAAGGGCTAGTCAAACCAGGTTTCACATACAGAGTTTTATTATGAGTATAACTTTGTTTCTAAAGCATTAGTTTCTAATGATGTTTGGCAGCATCTGTTTAAGCAAATTTGAGTTACCTCTCAGGCTCTATGAGAGACAGAAAGCGTCTGAGATAAGAAAAAATGTATTGAGGGACTTTTCTCTAGAAAAAGAGTGTCATCTCCATGAAGTCTATACATCTTTGTGTTTCTTTGTGTTTCACACAGGGCAGTAGACCTAGAGGAATGTCCAGAGCACAGTGGCTTAGCAGTCCATCACCTTAACCACTTGACCAGTTGTCTACATAGAGGAATTAGTGCATTAAAAATAATTAATTTTTGTTAGATACACCGAGAAAATTGTGATGCATGGTCTCTGTGACAATACCTCCATTTCCCTTTAGCAGCACAAATTGGTGTTATTTTGGAAAGTTACGTAAATTTTAATTTACCCAAGGCAGCTGGAGTTTCAGGTTACCAATGTGGGAATAAGCTGTGTGAAAAATTAGCACTAGTACTTTCGTGCAGTTGCCAGTTCTCTGGGGTCCTCTAAAAGAGAAGAGGCACAGATTATGGACCTTGCAATGTATTCCTACTCTGCCTGACTCCACAAGGCTCTGATTCTCACTCTAGGTAGACTGTCAAGATTTAGGTCCCAGTAGGAGAGTGGATTTAATTTATAATAGATTTTACAATATAGCTAGTCAGCAAATTCAGTGTTGCTTAGTGGGGAATCTTACTAGTTAGAACTCAAGAACCCTCTTCAATAACAGACTAAAACCCATGGCTGCAGTCCTTCTTTACTTTTTTTTCTCCCCCCCCTCTAGGAAAAGAAGATTTTTCAGATCCCTTGGATGCATGCGGCTAGACATGGGTGGGATGTGGAAAAAGATGCTCCACTCTTTAGAAACTGGGCAATCCATACAGGTATTACAACCCCCTGCAGTGTTACAGACATATGCACTGTCATCTATTTTTGTTTTCATGACACCTATAAAATCTCCTGGCTTATGGACACATGACAATAGCTATGAAAAATCTGTGACTTATTTCAGGTACATCAAGGACACATGGGTACAGACTTCATCATTTAACACCATGTTGCACACATCTCATAGATTTCAATCATTAAATTTCTTGTAAATGTGGTATTCTGATAAGTTCCCCAGTTGTGCACCAGGGGAATAGAGTGATTTGTTCTAGAGGTAGAAACTTGGATTGAATTTAGCTTCTGAAAGTCAGTCAGGAATATATTTATCACAAAATTTAAGTAGAAAGCTATTTAGTAGAATGAGGTTTTTTATATTTGAGAGTCAGAAGAAAAAGAGAAATACACGTGTCTTTTGCTTGTTGGCCTCTTAGTCTCCTGTACCACTTGTGTTAATTCTTCATTCTTCTACCATCATCATTTTCCATCAAATTATTTAATATCGTCAGAGTGACCAACATGTCCTGGTTTGCCCGAAACTGCCTAGGCTTTAAAACTAAAATTCTTCCATCCTGAGAACTCCCTTAGTCCCAGGCCCACTAGGATAGTTGGTTCTTCTAGTTACAGCCAGGAATTAGAAACTTTATCTGTACCATCTGACCAGCAGTACTATTTCTCCAGAAATATTTATTCAGTATCTAATTTTCTCCTCTTTTTCTTAACTTTTGACTGTTTTGTTAGGAAAGCATCAACCAGGAGTAGATAAACCTGATCCAAAAACATGGAAGGCAAATTTCCGATGTGCCATGAACTCCTTGCCTGATATTGAAGAAGTCAAGGATAAAAGCATAAAGAAGGGAAATAATGCCTTCAGAGTGTACCGGATGTTGCCCTTATCTGAACGACCTTCAAAGAAAGGTAGATAAAGATATTTATTGACTGAAAAACTGACCACTGACTCCATGATGTCTTTTTTTCCATATCTGTACTCACTCCAAGGGTAGCACCCCTGTTCATACTGTAGATGATGATTCTGTCCTCCCCTGGCTGGGAAAATGGCTTTCAGGTTATCAAAAGCAATAAAAGAAACACTTAGAATTTTGACCATGTACAGACTAAAGCAACTGGTTCTTTAAGAATTTTAGAAGCAGTTTAACTCAGGAGAAATATTTCTCTGTATGTTCTTCCTGAATTAATGTAAAACTCTTCTTTTGTGGTCATAGGAAAGAAACCAAAGACAGAAAAAGAAGACAGAGTTAAGCAAATCAAGGTAATCTTTGGTTGTTCAGAGAGAAGGCCAAAGCACATTAATGATTCATACTGTTTCATAAAACCAAGTAATACGATCTCTGTGAAATGTTGAATTTTTCTTCCTTTGCTATTGTGTTTTATATGCTATACATGTCTCCTCTTTGGCATGTAACCACTTGCAGACACATGCCCACATATCCCTTGCTAAATCCAGTTTCACTGAGAAATTTATGAATGAAGTCCACAAATTCACACTGAGCTCTACAGTCTCAGGCTTCCATCTGGTCTCCACAACTGTGGTCAGCTGGTGACAAAGTTTCAGCTAAGCTCCAACAACCAGCTAATATATGCTAATACTAAGTATGTTTCAGCCTATTAAATATACTTTAAAATGTGTGAAATGTCATGTAATTATATTTAAATGTATTATATGCATAATATATTTTTTATATATTGTATATATTCAATGACAGGCTTTTAGGTAGGGTACACAGTAGTCAATGCAGCCACTTTATTACAGAGTTACTTCATTACAGAACCAACTCTCATAACTCCCAAGAGTTTTTCTAAGAGGTGTGTGTGTTTCTGTGTGTGTGTGTGGCGGGGGAGATGTGCTTTTCAGTAGGGTGTATAGTCTGAACTCCCCCTTTCCCTACAGTTAATTCTACTCAGCTTCCATGCTTGAAAGGTCTTTGTACTATAGATTTCTGTGTTGTTGTTTTTGTTGTGTGCTGTAGAGAAGATTGAGTAGCACTTGTTAAGTATGAGAGGGTAGCCAGATATTCTTGGCAGAATTGGGGATGAACTACAATTGCAAAGCGAAGAGCAGCTGTTATACTCATAGATCCACAGACCATCGGAGAGATTATCCAGTTGACTGCCCTTGGTTTGCAGAGAAAGAAACTGTGGCTTGAGAGAGTTGAGTGACATGAGCTCAAGTTCACACAGTTACTTAAAACTGAGCTTGAATGAAATGCCAAATATTCTGATTTCTAATCTAGAATAACTGCTGAAGATAAAACCAAACCATCCAGCGCAATGTTTAAAAACAGATCAATAGTTGAAATGGTGGAGAAAATACAAAATATTTGAGATATAAAGTTAGATTTGTGAAGGCAGTTTGATTTTTTGAGTGAAAACTTAGATAAATTGCTAAAAATGTTAGAGATAATTTACCTCTACAATGGAAAATAGATATTTTAGGCAGACTATATTTCTATATTTTATCAATGATATTTCCAGTTTCACTTTTGATATTTTTAGTTTGTGACTGTTTTAAATATAGCACAGTATTACAAAGGAGCTCTGGGTGTGCAGTGGTTAAGGCATTTGGCTGCTAACTGAAAGGTTGGCAGTTCAAACCCATTAGCTGCTCTGCAGGAGGAAGATGAGGCAGTCTGCTTCCACAAAGATTTGAAAACCCCATGAAACAATTCTGCGCCATAGGGTCGTTATGAGTCAGAATTGACTTGTTGCCAGTGGATTTACAGTATTAAGGCTTAACTTTTGTTTTAAATTTTTTATGTGTAAAGTTTTTTTTTGTGTGTAAAGTTTTATACAGGAGCTCTGGTAGCATAGTGCCTAAGGCACTTGACTGCTAACCAGAAGGCTGGTGGTTCAAACCCACCAGCCACTCCTTGGAAGGAAGGTTGGGCATTCCTACTTCCATAGTGATACTGCCTCAGAAACCCAAGGAGGGGTCGCTATGAGTCGGGGCTGACTCATGGCAAATAACAACAACAACAAAGTTTTATACACATTAAAAATGAGCATAATTTATCCCATAGACCATCAATTCAGTTTCAACATTAATCAGCCCATGGCCAACAATTTCGTTTCATTAGTACACACTCCCTATCTCTAATACAAATTGCTTATATTCAGTGATTTTTGACTTACAAATACAATTTCATGTGGTTCAGTTCATTATTTTGAAGCAAATTCCATATACCATATCACAACTTTCATAAATATTTCAATATCTATCTTTGAAAAATTTAAATAGCACAGAGTCATTACATTTGAAAAAATTAACAGAAATTTCTCAACTAGAAATCATCAAATTTCTAGTCAGTATTCAGATTTGCAGTTGTCTCATAAATGTTACAAGTTTTGTACAGTTTGTTTATTTAAATCAGGATCCATATAAGGTACTGATGCTATATTTTGGATCTGCCTCTTAAGTTTTTTTAACTTATGGGTTTCCCCTCCATCATTTATTTTATTTCATTTTTCACTTACAGTCTGTTCATGAAAAATAGTTGTGAGTTTTGTCATGATTCCCACAGTTTGAATTTTTTTTTCATGCCTATGTGTGGATCAGTGTTATTTCCTCAGAGACGTATAGCTTCCTCTTAGTTGTGTGATTTTGAATAATTTGCTGCAATCCTAAATGTGACTATACCATATTCACTATTATTTTAACAACATGTAACTCAGTGCCTATCACAGAATAAGAAATCAATATATATTTGATCACTGAATAGATGCACAATATTTGTTTTTTAAATAGATACATAAATAAATATAATATCTGTGGAACTGGGGATTTTTCACATTAGAATGCGGATTTAATTTAATTATCACAATTAGTGGAAAAATAAGAATAGAGTAACAGATGTCCTCTTTTCAACAAACTTTGCTCAAACGTATCCACCACTGAATGTCAGATGCCAACAGTTGTAAGATGTACCATTATGTTACATATCACTAAGAAAGAAAAACTAATTCCAATGAAACCATGACACATAATTGATGATAAGGCACATATTATTTCAGGATATGGGAATGTAAGGAAATAAGCATCTTAGAATTAATGACAGAGAGTGTCATAAGTTAAAGACACCTGCAGTCATGCCAGCATGGGCAGTGCCTTCCACATGGCCACACAAATGAGCAAGTTGTAGAAGGTACAGCCCTGGGTGGGCTGGCCATAGTGGCTTAGGGAATCAAGTGAGAGCTTTCCTCAGTTACAACTGTGCTAGTCAAATTGCATCCTAGCCAAGTGTATGTTGTGAAATTTTGATGTGATGATCTTATCCCTCAAAGGGATATTGTTCCTTCAGCAGAAGGTGGTGATTCATCAGAAATAAACAAAGTCTAACATTTACATTTGAATGTACAGGCATCTGTCCTACAATATAACAGGGGAACATGGATAAGGCCAATGTTGTTGTTGTTGTTATGTGCTGTCAAGTAGGACCCAACTCATAGCTACCCCTCCTTGGGTTTCTGAGGCAGTATCACTGTGGAAGTAGATTGCCCAACCACAACCTTCCTTCCGAGGAGTGGCTGGTGGGTTTGAACCACCAGCCTTCTGGTTAGCAGTCAGGTGCCTTAGGCACTACGTACCAGAGCTCCTATGGACTTCCCAAATTCTGTGTTTCATAAATACTAAGCCATAGTGTTAACTTAATGTTTTTGTAATTTAATGTCAAAATTTAACTCCTGAGGTTGTCTAGAATGTCAAAGGACCTTATTTATCCTAAGCAAGCTATGAATTATACTCCTTTTTGTTGTATGTCAAAATACCTAAATTCTAGCATAGTGCCTGAGGCATTTTGACTGCTAACCAGAAGGCTGGCAGTTCAAATCCACCAGCCACTCCTCAAAAGGAAGGTTGGGCAATCTACTTCCATAGTGATACTGCCTTGGAAACCCAAGGAGGGGTCTCTGTTTGAGTTTATGCAAATATGTGATTGAATAGCATTAATAGACTCTGTGCAAATGTTCTTCCACTGAGAAAATTTGTCTTGAGTCTATTAAGTAGATTATGAGAATTTGCAGTTGAAGCAAGTTCTTCCCAAGCTCTTCAAAGCTGAATTGAAATTTTAACTAGCAAACAATGTTTAGAGTATTTGGGGCAAGTGTCAAAATTACCTTGAGCCGCTCGGGCAATATATCTCCATGCTATATGTCCCCCCAGCAAATAGTTTCCCTGAGATTAGGTCACCCAAGGCCCAGTGGTTGTGTAGTAAGTACAGAGACCCTGCTGGGACATTTTCTGACATTCTCTTTGTGCGTCAATTCTATGCACTCAGTGAATTGTGTGTTACGTGAAGTAACCCATGCCTGTGTGGAGGTGGCTGTCTGAGGAAATAAGAACGAGCAACTCCATAGTGAGCAATGTTGTTGTTATGTGCCGTTGAGTCGGCCCCAACTCATAGTGACCCCTCCTTGGGTTTCTTAGGCAGTATCACTACAGAAGTAGGATTGCCCAGTCTTCCTTCCGAGGAGTGGCAATAGTAGATCATATATCATCAGTGCAAATATATGTTTCAAAAAAATGTGATGGACAGATGCAGGCAAGGCCAAGATTAATAAAGATAGAAGAGGGTATTTGCCATCAGGTTGATTCTGACTCATTGTGACCCCATATGTGTCAGAGTAGAACTGTGTTACATAGGGATTTCAGTGGTGGATGTTTTTGAAAGTAGATCACTTTGCCTTTCTTCCAAGGCACTTCTGAATTGGCAGCCTTTTAATTAGCAGCTGAGTTTGTTAAAAACAGAGAGGAGTAATTGACACTTGTGAGCCCTGTGATGGGCAGGTTATCTTTCTTCTGCATGTGCGGAAGTAGAGACACAAAAAGGCTGAGTAATTTGTGCAAGGTTGCATAGCTTTATGGAGCTGAGATCTGAATCAAGGCCATTCCAACTCCAGAACCCATGTTCTTTCACCACATCCAGTACCTCTCAGCCTTTTGGAAGCTGTGGGACCTGAGCCAGGCCTTGGAGGATATGGTAGGGTAACATCATAGCCTTTTTCCCACACCAGGAACATCATGAATAAAGTCCTGCAGATTAGATTCACTATTTGGTCTACACTATACAAGTCAGGAAGGAGCTCTTGGTACAGTGGCTAAAGTATTCAGCTGCTAACCAAAGATCAGTGGTTCAAACCCACCAGCTGCTCCCATGGCAGAAAGATGAGGCAGTCTACTTCTGTAAAGATTACAGCTTCAAAAACCCTATGGACAGTCCAGAGGGCGCTGCCATTTTGTAGGTTTAAAAAGCGGCT